ACGGGGACGTCGCGCTGCCGTCTATCTTCAAGGACGTCCAGAAGGACGATGTGGTGTGGAAACTACTAGCTAAGTAAAGCGGATTTTTTATTCTCTCTATTCACTTGACCTAAAAGGTTTCAACTACATATCTACATAAAAGCAGAAAACATTATTAGAAAAATAGAAATATTTCATTACCATCTCATATATCATTGTATTACCAATTACAGGACTGAAATTGAACTAATGGTGATCAACAGCATCTACTTTAACACATTGTAACTTTGTATTGTGAATAGTACTCTACATGAAGCCAGTGGGACATTTTAAAAATCTTAAAAAAATAGTCCAAATTTTTTTACTGGATTTTGTTGCCAGTGAGAAGCCTTATAAGAACATGGTGCAGGGCTAATTTTCGTTGAAATCCCTGATTTTTTGAAAATTGGTAACATTTTTTCGGCGTCTTCCTGGAACAATAATATTGAGGATATGAGATTTTTATCCTAAACCTTTTCTGTCAAGGCACATATTAATATGAGATCATGTTCAATATTTCGAAAATATGAGGTTTCGTTTGCCCGAAATATTGGCAATTTAAAAAAATTAACATTTTATTCAAAAAATCACTCTAATTTTCTTCTTTAAAATAATCCCGATATGTAATAAATGACTGTAGAAAGTGTGATGGTAGTCCCAGTTTCGGTTATCTCTCCACTTTTACGAAAATTGACAAATGTTCAAAATTTTGTGACCAAATTTCAAAGTGATAGAATTGAAGATAGGGAGTTTTGGAGAAAAAAAATCTGTTGTAAAAAAATTAGATCTTTAAAAAATAGCAAGTATCTTTCCGAAGAAAAGAGTACTTTTCGTATAATTTACAATTAAAATTTATGCAACTTCGAAATGAAATAATTTTTCCAAAATAACCTCCAAATTATTATTTTTTTATAATTAGAAGAGATGCTTAAAAGACTTGCACTGGTCTCAATTTCCTAGAACTCTGATTTTTCAAAAATTTAAATTTTGAAATACTTCGAGATAGCCTGTGCTGTTGTATCATCCCTAGTTTAAAGTTTAGTATGTTCTATCCGAGGAAAAATATTAATCCAAACATTTGGAGTAATTTTAAAACATTGAAAAAGGGGGTATGTTTAAAGTACCCCCACAATTCAAATACCTATTAGAAACTCGGGGTATCTTGAGTTTGATTAGATTGACCAACACACAGGGACCGACAGGCAGAAATACCCACTAATCGGTTCCAATGATAGCGCGACCAAAAGCACTTATTCCACAACGGCACATATTTTCTCGCTCTGTAACTTTTGCAATTTTCAAAAATTCAATGATTTCTACGAAAATAAGACCTGGGTAATTTCTTCGCGTTTTTGTTCTCTCCAAGGAAAAAATGCATACAAAATTGAAATCATTTATGCGAAAATTTTGTTGAGGCTTTCTGTTAAGTACCCCAAAAATTCATACAATCGTTTCAAACACACAGGGCCTTGAGTTCGTCCAGACAAATTGGAGAATGCAAACTGTCGAGAAAGTCATCTGAACGGTTTGTAACGTAGCTTTGATCATAGACGGAGATGATTTTCCGTCAACCGTTTATTGGGTATAACCCATGAAACGTAGATGCTGATTACAAATCTCAGAGTAAGTAATTTCCTACATACAGAAACAAGATATATCCCCTTCTGACACCAGGGTCCAAAATACTAGTTTCTTGTAACAAATTTGCCTTTTGGTCGCAGAATTACAAAATTTTCTCTATTCTATCCAAGTATGTAGCATGGCGAGAGTGCAAAAAATAATGAAGTCAGTGAATATAGATTTCGCCAATTCTCTCTGCGATGTGGATCCAAAAAATTCCGTTCACTTTCAAAATATTTATTTAAACTTATGCATAGTCCTACACCTACCAGCCTGCCTTTCAGAGCATCCAGTTTTCGCATTTGCTGGTCTTCAACAGATACTTATCGGTGGTTACCTATCAATGGCCACCTCACGTTTACAAACTAAATTGCAGGATTACACAAAATTTGATGCGAGAACCATTGATTTATTTCTGAGTTTTCGCACGGCTCTCGCGATTGTCAGTTCTCAATTCGCATCCGGCCCACACTTGCAAACGCGTAGAGCGTATAAGTAGTACAGCTTAAGCCAGGCTTGCTTTCCAGGTTCGAGCCCTATTCCGAAGAAAAGACGATGGAGATGGTGGTGCTTGAATTTGTAGAGGACTGGCCAGGCCCGGGGGTCGTCGTTTCCTTGGACCAGGTGCGGCCGCTGCTGGACGGTCCCGACCTTTGGGACACGAAGACTGGCGCTTCGTTGGCCTACCCGGTGCCGCAGTGCCTCCTCTCGCCGGCCTACGTGTCCTACCCCACGCGGCCACGCTGGCCTCAACAGCGCCTGTTTGACGCGCGCCTGGGAATTGTGGCGCAGGCGGGCATCGTCAACAAGTTGGACAGGTATACGGCACAAGAGCGACCCCAACTCAGTTTCCTTTCCCTTCTCAACGCGGCTTCACAAGACACTGCAGCGGTTGGCTTTGCACAAAAGAATAGTGAACGACCCTTTCAGGCACTCCCTTTCACCTACTACGCAGTGCGGCGTCGCGGTAGGGTCAACTTAGAGAAGCTCACTTTCTTGCAGAATGGAACTGTAGACAAGCACTTCCAGTACTTGCTCTCACTTCTTCCCTTCGACTCTCCCCCCCGGTTGCCTCACCGTTGTTTCAACAAAGGGATGCTTGCAAAAGGGAGATGTGGACTAGTTATTCGGGTACTCACTCACACCTTCCTCCTATCAGTCCTTCCCTCACACCCTCTTCATGGCACAAACTCAGTGATGCTTGTCGCTTTGCAGAACGGGCTTAATCCCGAGTTTAAGGGGAAACTTACGTTTTGACAACCTTCGCTGTCAGAACCTCTTTAATACTACCGTATGTATCGTTTATTTCTGATTCTTGTATCGTGAAGGATAGAAATGATTTATCATTTTCCTCTAAACACTAGTTTTGGAGGTAAATAGCAAGTTTGCGGTGTTCCGGTTTACGTATGTGGAATTAAGACGCTTTGCTACGCGTGTACAGTTAAGGACGAGACTCGGGCCTCGTGTTAACATAATACATCCTTAACAACGCATAATTACCAACGTATTTTATGCAAATACTCATCTTGAAAATAATATGGCAGGTATATGTACGTACGTATGTCCATTCATTTAAATGTTTCTCAAAATAATATAATCGATTTCTGCCTGGTGAACGATAACATTCCATCCAACCGATTGGAAGAGAAGCAGCCCACGCCAAGGCACTGTAATCGAGAAAGCTTAGGCTTAGGTACACCGTAAAACCGGGATCAGCCCAGAACGGAATCGTAGGCCAATTCAAGTACTCCCTCACACTTGCTGCTCCGTTTTCACTCACCTACCTATCATTCCTCAAGCCACTCAAATGTCACCGAAATTTTTCACTGCAGCTAATCACCGTTTAGGCGGTCAAGGTGCAGAAAACTTACATTCACTGCTTTACTTTCTGAACACCTTTACTATTTAATCATTACCAATCGCTTTCTCTACGCTTGAACACACTGCCGCTGATTGCCTTCTCAATGCCATTGCTGCGAGTGAGCTGTGAAGAATGGTATTTACTAGGCTGTACGGGTGATGCCGCGTCCATGGCAAAGGTGCCGCGTTTTGGGGCCATTCTGCGACCTTCCTCAGGGCGTAATGCATTACGGCGCCGTTAGCGCATTACGCCCTGAGGAAGGTCGCAGAATGGCAACCTGAAACGTCGGCACCTTATGGACGCGGCGTCACCCGGACAGTCTAGTAAATACTGACTCCGGCCGCGGAAGCCTACGCTCTCACGTGAAGAATGGTATTATCAATTAGGTTCCTCAGTCTTTTCTTGGCCTTACCTACTAAAGAAGCTACGTTTTTACGCCATCCCGTTTAATATTTTAGTGACATGTGGATCAAGTTGCGTGCACTGGGTTTTTTGCATCGGGGGCCTGCGTTGTCCTCGTCCGCCTCCCACGCGCCCACCGCCGAGGAGCCACGCCCCCTCGGGCTCTCCGTGCTGCATGAACCCGCGATCGTCCTGTGCGCGGGGGCGCTGGCGGCGGCCGTGGCCTTCCTCGTGGAGACGGGGCTGAGCATGCACGCTTCCCGGGTCTCGGTGAGAAGCGGGCGACTGTTCCTACGTCTTCGCCCAGCGGCCCCGACTCGATGGACAGTGCACGCATATTGAGCCTTTGACCTTGCTGGGACCTTGAACCTGAAATCTTGAGTCTGAGATCTTGAGCCTGAGATCTTGAGGCTGAGATCTTGAGACTGAGACCTTGAGCCTGTGTGACGGTGTAGGAAGCGACCGTGGCCGTCATAGAGAGGGCACTGAGCCCTTACGCTTGTTGGGTCATGGTGAGACGTACGTCGAGTGAATGGTGGCGAGGGCGGTGGCCGTGTCCTTCCTCGTGGATAAGGCATTGAGGACAAGCGCTTATGGATTCCTTGGAAGATGGGCGCCACACCGCTGGTTGGACGCACGGTCGTGCTGTACGTGGTGGCGCTGGTTGCGGTCGTGGCCTTTCTCGTGGACTGGGATCTGCGGATGAATGCTTGAGGATTCTTGGGGAGACGGGCGCCATACGGTTGGTTGGACGCACGCCCGTGCTGGACGAGGTGGCGCTTCCTCATGGAAAGTGACACAACGCAATATACAATGGTAAATTAGTGTATGTAGGTCGGACGAAATGGTACGTGTATTGCGATATGTGAGACAAATGGAAATTTTATGTTCACAAAATTTATTGGTTGGTATATCATAAATTATTTTTTTGTACATAACTATGGTGTATCACTTATTTATGTTCCCTCACACCTATAGTACCTATATTTGTTTATCATCTGCGTTGCTTCTAATTCACTGGTAGAATACTCAATTCCAACGAAAATTAGTGGTGCTACAGTAGTATATACTTTTTGCTGTTATTTGTAACGTTTGAAATTTTCAAAAACTTGAACATGTCAATGAAAATGTAACAAGTTCAATTTTCAAGCGTTCTTTGCTCTATCAAAGGAAAGTTTAAAGAAAAATTAAAGATATTTTTGAAAAAACAAACAAATGAACTGTCATTATTCCGAACAAAAATTAGGCGAAAATGACAAGTGTACATCGATGGCTTGGGGCGCAAACTTTGTATAACCACTCTTGAACATTTTTGAAATATGTAACATAGTTTTTGACGACCTCCCTTTCATAACTTCTTATCGTACAAAGACACATTACATATGAGAGTGTTCATGCTTTTCCCCAAAAACGCACACATGGTTATTCCATAAGTATGTGCACCATTACGAAGTTTCATACTTAGTTTTCTCGAAAATAGAAATTCTCGTCATAAACTCTAGTCGAGGAAATATGTCTATGAAATTTTTTAAACATGTTACAGAATACATTCCAAATTTGAAAAATAAATAAATCTAAGTTAGGAATCAAGTAACACTAATTTCTAATTAAGTATATTAATTGTAAGCAATGCCAACTAGACACTAGTGTAAGGCCTGTCGACTGACGCAGTGACATCACATGGATAATCATTGCGGCAAACGAACCTTTTACCGGCTGTTCACTGTCAATCAAAGTTCACTTACTTTCTTCGCAGCCTTAAACAAATATTATACACAAAGCAATTTTTGTAACATTTAAATTAATTTAATGCAAATAACAGTTAATTTTTACTAAAAAGGGATGAATCTTATCACAATTTTAAATTCAAAGTTTTGTCATATTTTACAATTGCGAATTTCTCAGAGTGGTTCATATCTTTGAAGTATCTAAATGATGTTTTATACATAAATCTATTTTCCACATCATGAAAAGTAATTTCTTGTTTTTTTATTTAACATGTTGGTTTTAATGTTCTCCCAGGGGCACACACCCTCAAAAGTGATGGTATAGAAAGACACAGATTTTTTCTTATTAGTTAGATTCCTAACACATTTGGTCTGAGCTACCTATTAGGCCTTGCCCCATCCTCGCGCTGAAATCTGTCGCTGCCAAATTTATAATTTTTGGACTTTTCTCCTTTTTCGGTTTCATAATGGTAGAACCGAAGCATTAGTCCAAAAAATTAAATAAATGTAAAATTTAGTCTTAAACCGAAGTTTTCATTTAAAATTTCGAGCCCTTTTTAATAAAAAGCGTTTAAGCATTACTGAAAAGGCGAAATTTAAATCACATTTTACAGAAAATTTGATTTTTTGAAAAACTTCGTACAGAAACTTTATGTATGTTACATGACGGAATTCTTACAGAAAATGAATCATGTAAAGAGATGGATATTTTATAAATTGCTAAAAATGCAAAATGTTATGAAATGCTGACAAACTTGGTGATTGTGTGTTTGACGGTAGGTGCAGTATATTTCCGAAGATTTTGAATTTGCGATTAAATGCAATATCAAGCGCAAAATGCAAAATCACGTACAAAGTGAGAAATAACAACACAAAGTGCGAAATAAATAAAGTAATGAACAGTTACAAACTGGCAAATACAATTACAAGCATCTCTCTTTTTGGATTTTAGGCAATTGCAATTAAAATTGAAAATTGCAAGAAAAATTTTCAAAATGTAAAACAAAACGTCGTTTCTAAAATAAGGTGATATGTTACCCAATTGAACTCAATAACCCAATTTTTAAATTACAATCAAAGTTACACGTTTGAACATCCTCTGGGAAAAAAATAATGAAAATCACTTTGACAGAAAAATTGCATGATGAAATACAAATAAGTTTTTTTTCTTTTCATCACAAAATATTTCATAATATTAGTTCAAGTAAATCCATAAAGAAGATGGTTGAAAGCAAGACTGAGAAATTATATCTGATGCTTTTATATTTTTCTGCTCAATAGTGAAACCACCCACACCTACTATCGCGTCGCAGCTTCGTTCAACGTACCCAAACACCCTCGTTATCACATCGCATCTGTTTCAGGTTCTTTCTTTCAAGAGGTTCGAGAAGCGTGTAAAACTCTCCCGCCTTTTGTTGACTGCCCCTTCCTTAGCTGTCAAACTCCGCCTTCTCCACACCACCCACACGTCACCCAGCAAGGATACGATGTCCTGAATGTATTTGATTTGTCTTATTGGACCATTCGAGGCGAGCCCTTAGGCAGTTGTTCCTCACCCAAGTTTTTCGACCAAGGCTGCCTTGGAAACGTACTCTCGACGCGGATCTGAGAATCTTTATCGAGCAGATGAATCTCGCGGTCGCTCCCCTTAATGTGCCTGGGACTTGACTATCGCTTTCTCCGCCGGATGTCGGTCTCAGTTAGCTATATCCCAACTTCCTGATTGGAAGAGAGATCTCGTTAGAGTAGAATGTTGTCGGAGAGATTTAATTTTCTCGGACAAACCGCAAGGGTACTTTTACATACCACAAGTGTGACGTGGCTAATGTAGATTTTCGGCTCTTTCGGAAAATCCAGGCAACTAGACCGTTATCGAAACCGCGCACTGGGAAGATCAGAGATCAGTAAGAGAACTCCTCACCCACCGAGACCTCTGAAGAGACGTTTTCATGCCATATTAGCAATAGATCTGGTGACTCGCTTAGCGATTCCGCTCGCCAACCTATCACTAGAGTGATGACCGTGGGAAATGCATGCTCGACACGCCCATTTCGCGGACAGCTAGTAGCCATGAAAAATTCGCCCGGCACGTTCCGAGCTAGCATTCTTACAAGACGAACTCTTCCAATCTCGGATAAAGGTATCCTTCCCAACCAATTCAAATTAAAAGTTCACAGAAACTTCTAGAAGCGAACTGAGCCTCTGAATATCAGAGCTTGAAGAGAAGCCAGGAGCACAGCGCTCCGAAATTTTGGAAAACGCGATTTATCAAAAAAGCGCGTGGATGATTAAGGTAGGAGAAATTTGCGCGCGATCTGATATTTTCGAGGCAGGAGAGTCTCGCAATAATCGGCAGACATCTTACGATCACGGACAGAGATGAACTGGGAGGTACATTATAACCACGGACAAGGCCTGACAACCAACTGGACGAGCCCAAACAGTTTACGACAACGGTCTTCTCCTTTTAATGCCATACACTGACTAGTGCGTAAATTAGTCTCCAGTAGCTCCTAGCGCCTTCTTGTGAGACTTATCCTGAGCAAGTACACCACTGCTTTTCCTAGGGGCGCTTGGGGCCAATCTGTTTTACATGCCGACAAGCGTTTTCATGTCGTCGATTTCTGTCACTTCAAAAATCCCCGACTTTGGCTGGGCTTCAACACGCCAACTTAGGATCAGTAGCCCGGCATGCTAACTACTGCACCACGAAAGCCTGTAAGACAACGGTAAAAGCTGTAAACCGACGCGCGACAAAATACGCGCGTTATAAGATGCGGAGCCGCGAGTGACGCCCCGTTCGCCGAGAGCGGAACCACGAGGAAGCCTACTTGCATCGGAGGCGCAGACATCGGTAACGCTTCTTCGTTTCATCGCAGTAATGCTTCAAAGACTTCCGCCCAGGTTGGCGCGGAGTGTTGTGTGCACGAGGTGCTTCTATGAATTCTTGGCCCGAATGAGTGGTTCTCTATCACTGTAGGGCAGAGGGTCTGACAGGGCACGACAGATGCTGTACAAAACTGTAGGACCTGTATATTGTATATAGTCATGTAAATAAACAGTACATAGAACTCACTCTTATCTGTGTTTTTGTAGTGTATATACCTGTCGACGACGTCACACAACGCTTTCCCGAAATGTTCATCAGGTTTTCCCGAGCGCACCTCCCAGCAGACTGCGGCCTCCGATCATTGTGCCATGCAGGCGATGAATTCACGCGGCGTCCGTCTACAAATGGCCGCTGACTCCCTCCACCGCTCCCACAACGTCCAGGTGTCGTAAAGATAGTTTTTGTAAAATGCTTGGGTGATACAATATCTTCCAGTCAATCAATTTTAAACATTTCAAGATCTTTATTGTACAACTGCAAGAAAGAAGAATATAGGAATAGTCACGCATGTAACATTTTAGCAATTTGTTGGAAAGCAATCGAAAAGTTTTCTCATTTCTGTCTTCATACACATGTAAAGTTCCGGCAATCAATTTTAAATTTCAATAAGAAGGTAGTACCCCTTCTGGAATCACATGCTTCACAGGATAATG